ATTTTCTTCCTCATTTCCCTATGCCTAACTATTTCCTGCTCCTCCCAACACAAGATCTGAAGGCAAGTAGGAGTGCTGTCAGCACAAAGTCTCCTGGGGAAGAAGGGAAGTGATGAGATTTGCAGGATGGCATGTGCTACCAAGTCATTTCTCGCTCAGCTCTGGCAATGACACACATCTTCTTTCACTGTCAGGAGCCAAAAGGAAAGTGAAACAGAAGAAGCAGCAAATTTGTAAATTCTTATCTAATTTCATGGTTATGTAAAAATTATATAAAATGTAGACAGGCCCACTACATTATTTAGTGACTTTCCTATCAAAAACAAAAACCTCAATCCTCTTTTGAAACTTAGTGAATTGTTAATAGAGATTTTTCTAGATGGGAGGATATCTGAGTAAACCATTCCACTTTTCAGGAAATTTCACAACCGCACTCAACAAATTCACAACAGATCCACTAACTTAAGTAAAAGGCCTATTGAAAATGCATTCTTAGGAAACGAGAAAATGCCAAAGAGCTCTCTCAATAAATGAAACAGCTCTGTGCACTTGAATCCTCACGTGGATCCCTACCTTTGAGCACTTCTCCAGCACCTCCTCCTTGAACTGCAGGAACTTCTCCTGGATGGCAGGCTGGTTGAGAGGCAAGGACAGGAAGTGTGTGAAGGGCTGCCTCCTGCGGAAGCTGTCCAGGAGCACGTCGATCCGCGTCCGGGCAGAGACGACACCGCTGCGCTGCTGCCCAGTGATCACTGCAGGCAAACACAGCAACAACAACCTCTCTGCTTCACTGAAGCTCCCTGCTTTTAGTCCCAGCCTCCCAAGGAAGCAGGAGGAATCAAAACCCCCAGCCATGCACTGAAAAACCCACCAGGCTCCCTGCTTGACTTAAAACGCCTGATGTGGCTGTGCTTCCCTCAGCAAAGACAGATGATGCCATCAGAAGCATCCTTCTGCTGTCCACAAAGTCAGCTCTGGGGGCCTAAAAAACACTGAGAGCCCATCATTTCAGGGACCCTTCAGGTTTCTAGAGCATTATTTCAAGTTTTTAGATAGGCAGTCAGAGTGAAAATGCCAAGGAAATCTATCAAGGATCAAGACTGTGTGTGTTATTTGCGCATGCGCTTCAAGGCACCAAACAGAGAACACTTGAGCTCAAAAGGAAAGAACGGCAAGGAGCAAAATTTCCTTGGCTTCCTATTATTCCATGTTTTCAACATCTCTCAACCCTCCTAACAGTCCTTCACAGTTCTTGGGAAGAAGTCAAGACACACCCCTTGAGAAGCACCACCATGTTCCTGTGCAGCATCACAGTGGGATCCTCCCAGCATTTCCTCCTCACAGCTCTGTCACAAACATCCCTGTGCCAGTAATCTCTGGAGCATGCCCTAAGGAACCCTCCAAATACCCACTCTGGCAGAACCCACAAGGGTCAGCCCTGATGAGCAAGGTCTCCTTTCTTTTTAAATCCCTGGAAGTGATGAGAGGGAACATATGGTACAAGAAGCCCTGCTCTCACTGTTGGGATCTAGTGACAGCACCAGAAAGTCACGAATGTCATCTCAACCCTTCTCATATTAAAGCACATGCAGATGTTTATTTTGTACTCAGACAGACAAGGCATTTCTCTGAATGCTTATTTCAGTTTCTTATTGATGGAATACTATTTCAAAAGCAAAACTAAAAAAAAAAAAAAAAAATACAACACATTCAGGACCCAAGTTCTCAAGCCATTTAAGCCTAGAAGTAACTTAAAAAAAAAAAAAAACCCAAAAAAAAACCCCACACATTCAGGACCAAGTTCTCAAACCATTTAAGCCTAGAAGTAACTTTAAAAAAAAACCAAACAAACCAACAACCTAACACCATTTAATAAAGATTTATAGACAATAAAAATAAGCTCAGGAGAAAAGTGAAGTGACTTTCCCAGGGCCAAAAAGTGAGTCAGTGCTGTGTAAGAAGCAGGAATTAAAGGGAAAACACCTCCAGTACCCCCTTCCTGCTTAAATTGTGCTTGTACAAGAGCAGAAAAAAGCACATCCATTTTGTATATCCTACTCACCAATTTCTCCTTCCACTCCAGGCTTGGGAATGCTGATGGAGGTTCGAGTCTCTGTTTCTAGCCTCTTCTTTGTTTCCCCTTTCTTCCCAATGATGTACCTGGAGGCAGAAAGTGCAAGAGTTTCCCTCACACAGTGACACTGAGCCACTCTCCATCACGGGTGTCCAGAGCTGGACCCTCTGAGCTGGAGGGATGCACACACCCAGCTCCACGTGCAGGCACAGAGGTGATTTCCAGGACTTCACACATGTCCAGCCTGGGACAATGCTGAGATATGGCTCAAAACTGGTTTAAGTTAAAGTAAGTTGGTAAGTCCACAACAGCTCTGCCCACCACATCCTGCCACAGCCTCTGCATCAGCTGGGTTATCTCTTTTCCCATTATTCCAGCTGAGGAAGAAATAAGGGCTGTTTTTCTACTTTTTGCTTTATTCAAGGTAGTCATTTGCCAGCATCCAAATACACAATGGACCACTTTACCTTCTCTATATTTCCACAAAACGATCTAACTAATAAAACTGTCAAAAATAACTAGATAAAGCTTTGAACACTGCAGGTTCCTCAGTAAACAAGGGACTGGGGTCAACAGCCAATTCCAGTCGCGTGTGCTTTCTCTGAAAGCTCCCACAAACTTCCCCCTGCCAGGCTGCTCGCTCCAGTTCTTCCTCCCCTTCCTTCTCCCAGCCTCCCTGATGCTTTTATGTTCAAGGGAAGAGATGTTCAAAGACTCTCCTGCCAGCCAGCAAGCACCACCTGCTGTCCCCACCACGGGGCCGCTGAGGAGTCAAGCGAGGCCCAACTGCACTTAAAGGCATTGCCAATTTCCCCTTCCCCAATGCTCCAACCCACAGCACACCCAGACATCCAGCAGCCACCCCAACCTCCGAAACTAAACATTCTGTGCTCAACTTCTTCCCCAGCTGGCTGCAAACCAAACAAACCAAAGCACACGGGCTCACTTGTACAAGGGGCTGGGAACCTCCAGCCGGCACTGGAAGCCTCGCTCGGTCTCCTCCACCACGAAGGCATCGCAGGGCTCGTCCGCGCAGTCACCGGGGCCTACCGGGAAAACCACGTCAGGCCCTGCACAGCCTCTGTGAAGTCTGGCACTGCTTTATGGAGGAAAACAGCCTCCCCCCAGCCTTCTTTCAAGGTTAAATGAAGGAAGGAATGGCCTTCTCTCTGCTGTGGATAACTGCTTTTTATTTATCACCTCGCTACCGGCTGCGGAACATGTAATGACAGCTTCTAAATCCGGCCGGCTGGGAGGCACGGGAAGCAGGTAGTTACAGCCCAGGTTTTTTCTCAGCTGGAGTTTGTGCAATTCCCACACAGTGGGAATGGCCTCTTCTGGCAGCCAGTTCAGAAATTTAAGGCTGCAGAAGAAGACAGATAAAAGGTGAGGATAGTTTTGGTCTGAGGGTTCAAGCCAGTGGTTTAGAAAGAGATGCACCTTTCATCCGCAGGCTGTTCAGTCATGCATGGATCAAACAGAACACCCTGAAAGAATCCATGCTTCCTATTCCCTTTCCAACACAAGCAGGGATGAATTCGAATGGAAAACACCTGGTTAAAGCTCAGTGCAATCCATGGAAAGGCAGGGTGGGAGGAGGAACAGGACACAACTGCCACATTCCCATCTGAAAAGTAACACTGGAGCTTTTCTGTGCCCACAGCAACTCACACACAACTACAGCAAACACAGAAGGCAGAAAGACACAGGCAAACACACCAGGAGAGCAAGAATTTTGTCCCCAAAAGGCCAGGTTTAAAGGCACAAACATTGCAAGGACAGAGGGTCTTTAGCAAGCAGCTGCCGTATCTGCAAATAAAGATGGTAAGGAAAAGAAAGAAACCTGGAAAAAACAGATCTACACAGCTCATCAGGTTTTCCCTTTTCCTGGAGTTCTTCCACAGTCAGCAGGCAAACTGAACAGTCAGCAGCACAGTCAGCCAACCCACTTGGGATAACTGGAACTGCTTCCACTTTGGGCAGAAGGATCATCAGGGGCCAACACAAAGCCTTTTTCTCCCTCTTGAACACCTCAATCCGCCACATGGGCAGGTCTCTGTGCCCACAAAGGCACCAGAGATGACTCTGAGCGCTCCCTAGGTCCCCAGTGTTGATGTGTACACCTCCTGAGCATCACTCCTTACCTGAATAGAAGCTCTCCTCCTCCTCCTCGTGAGGGAAGGCCTGCTCTTGGATGAGGTTTTTCCGGTACACTCTTCCCCCAATCCTTACCAAGGGGGGCCGCAGCACATCCATCCTGCTCCTCCTCCTCCTACTGCAACAACAAGGACAGCTGTGCTAACCAGACCAAGGAAAAGCTCATTTCAGTGCTTCCCTGCACACTGGGCTGGCAGGGACATTAAAGCTCAGCTCATTCCAATGCCCTGCCGTGGTTCCACTATCCCAGGGGCAGCCTCAGCTTCTGTGAGCAACCTGCGCCAGGGCCTTGCCACCCTCATAGAAAAACAATTTCTTCCCAATATTCAGTCTCAACCTCCCCCCCTGAGCTAAAAGCCCCTCCATGTAGAGCCTTCAGAAAGGCAACACCTCCTCAAACCTTACGTGTCTCAACCAAAGAGCAATTTGGTGAGAAGTCACAAGTACGTGAAGCACAATCAAGTGGAAAGAGGAAATTGAAGCAGTGTAAGCTATGTAACTCTGAAACTTACTAAAAGGCACTGTAACCTCAGTCAGTGTGACGTTTCAGAGTTTCTTGGGGCTTTAGCTGGCACTGAGTTAAAAATGTTTAGAGTGGAGAACATCTCATGGTGCTAAAACAAAGAGCCAGCAGTGTTCTGTCAGAGACTTCACATCTCCAGCACGTGAATTTCTATATTCACTGGCATGGGTCATTTAATATTGGTTGTCTCAATTTTAAACCAGAAACTGTTACTCGGAAAATAAAGTTTCCACCAAAAAAAATTCACCTTTGTCAGAAAGTTCACCTGTCCACTGCCAACAGAACAGGAAAAAATTAGGAGCTTGCCTCAGGAGCAACTAGCTTTTATCACAGAGAGTGACATCAGGTTGAGAAGGTTAATACTTTTCCCCTCAGTTGGAGCCCCACCTTTTAAAATGACTCACAATCATCTGAACTCACACGGATAATAAAAACCATTACACTTCAATAAAAGTAGTAATTCCTGTGGCTCATGGGAAGAGGTGCAGAGGTCAACTGTGCACAATGACGGGAAAAGGCATGAAAAATCAGTCGCTGCGGCTTTTACTTCCACGCGGGTTTTTTTTTTTTTTGGAGGGTGGGTTTGTTTTTAAAACACTGGTGTCACAGTTTCTTGACACAAGGACTTCTGAAAAGCGAGCAGCAACAGCGGCAGGCAGAGCGCAGCTGGGGCTGCAGGATCCGCCTCCTGACAGCAGCATCCACAGGGGCTCCGCGGGAACCGACTCCAGGCAGGGGCACCGGCAGGGCCCGCACCGCGCGAATTCCCGGGGCGCCGAGGGCACTGCAGCCACAGCCCCCCTCGGCTTTACTGTGACAGCGCTGCGGGAAGGCGGAGGGAGCTGCGAAGCGTCCCCACTCCCCCCACCGCTGCCGCCGCCATTTTGTTCCCTCTCCCTCCCCTCCCCTCCCCACACGCGTCCCGCCGGAAGTGGCGCGCGCCCCGCCCCATCATGCACCGCGAGCGCGGCCACGCGCGCCGCCCGCACCAAGCTGCCGTCCGGGCTCCCAGCTGAAGGAGAGAGCGTTCGGCACGGGACCGGGGAGCGCCGGGAGGCGGCGGAGGCCCGGAAGGTGAAGGGCGACGGCATGACCGCGCGGGGAGGGCGGAGGCTGCGGCGGCGCGTGGGCTCCGCACTCACCGGGAAGCGGCTCCGAGGGGCCACGGGCGGGAGGGCGGGGGAGGGGCGTGGCCTGTGCGTGGGCGTGTCCATGAGCGCATTGGGGCGTGGTCTCGCTGGGGGCCCCGCCCCAGCCAAGATGGCGGCTGCTGAGGTGCCTGAGGCCTTGGCTGGAGGTTCCTGTAACAGGCGCGGGCATGGCCCTGACCTGCCGCCTCCTCTCCGCTGTGTTTGTTTAAAATAAACCCCCTGCAGCCACACTTAGGAATCTGTCGGGTCTGCGAGCCCCGGCTGGCATCGTTTCAGCGCAAACGATCGTCGCGCCTCCCTTGTGAGCAGGGAGCCGAGCCTGAGGGTTTGCTGAGGGAGGCGTTGCTGGGTGTAGCGTAGCAAAAATAAAAGTTTGTTTTATGCAGGCGTTTTTCGTCACGGCCCGTAAGCCCCCAGCCTCCTGTGAGCTGCTGTTTTCTGTGTGGCACACAGTAATCTTGAGTGCTCTTGGGAAACTTAATAACAAGAGACAGAGGAACTGGACAAAGGGAACGGCTTCCCACTGACAGAGGGCAGGATTGGGTGGGATATTGGGAAGAAATTATTCCCTGTGAGCCCCTGGCATAGGATGCCCAGAGGAGCTGTGACTGTGCCCTGGCAGTGCCCAAGGCCAGGCTGGATGGGGCTTGGAGCAGCCTGGGATGCCATGGCAGGGGGTGGAATGAGATGAGCTTTAAGGTCTTAAAACCCCATTTTCTCCAAAAAAACCTCACATGTTTTCCAAGGGCACTGTCTGTGTACGCTACAGAACCTGCAGAAGTGTACTAAACACGATAACAGAAAGGAATGAAATGGGCAGGATAATTAGGAAGTGCTTATAAGTATTTGGAGGAGCAGCAAGTGCTGTCACTGATAAGGGCCAAGTGACACCTTTTGTGCTATCAGAGAGGGACACGGGGAGTTTTAATTCCCGTGTCGTGACAAACCCAGTACCTCTTAAAAACAAGGCTGAGAAGAGAGCGTGCAAGAGGCAGCTGGAATTGTGCTGCACAGGCAGACGGATCCTGAGGCACTGCCAGTTCCACTCAAATACGGTGTTTTAAAGGCAGAATCACGTCTGGGCTGATGCAGAAAGCAGCTGCCGCAGGTTCGGCACGGCGTGGCTCCCGGCAGGATGCGGAGCTGGAACTGGCAGTCCCGCAGCCTTCCAGGTTTTATGAGGCAGCAGCACTTCTGTGTTTGTGCTCCTGGAAACAAGGAGGGGAAAAGGAAAGAAACCCCACCTTTTATGGCCCTGGGGAGCAGGACAAGCGCTGGGGCAGCTAAAGGCCGGTGAATTCAGGCCAGCAACCTGCACCTCCTTATTCTTGTGCACGCTCTGGATGAATTCCCAGGGGAATTCCGAGGGGTCACAGCGGGGGTTACCTTCAGTTTCGGGGAGTGACAGCTGTGTGCCCATCCCCACAGTGGGCACAGGCAGCTCTGCCACACACACAGGGCAGCCTGGACGCTGTGGGGCAGCGGGGGCAGCTTCATCCTGCCCCTCACTGCCTCCATCCCTCCTCGGGATGCCTCCATCCCCCTCCCACTGTGGCCGCTGGGAACTCCGAGGCGCCCTTCCTAACTCAGGCTCTGCTTTGTCCTCCCAGCTGGGCCGGGGTGCGATGGCAGCCTCCTCCTCATCCTCCTCGGCCGGTGGAGTCAGTGGCAGCTCCGTGACAGGGTCGGGGTTCAGCGTTTCGGACCTGGCGCCGCCCCGGAAAGCCCTCTTCACTTATCCCAAAGGAGCCGGGGAGATGCTGGAAGGTGATTGCTGCTGTCCTTCTCCTTCCCTGCTCCTCCTCCAGCTGCTGACCTTCGCACCCCACTGGCAAAAGCTGGAGGTAGAAAGGAAGCACCGGGGTTTGGTCGGTCCTGGCTTTCCCACCAGTCGTTCAGGAGGAAGTGATTTTGCTGGCCGTCACCTGCTTTGTATCTCCATGACAACACTTCAGACCAGGAAGCATCTACCTGAAAGGGAACATGACTGTGTTAATTGCTCATTGTTAGCTAATCCTTTGATGTCAGGCAGGGATTGCTGCGAGGATAGCTGAGACAGGAATATTTTTTTTGGCAGAAGTAGTAATTTTCTTGGTTTGGGTTGGATTTGACTGGGTTAGTCCAGGAGGCAGCTTGTTTCCCTGCCAGCTTGCATCGTGGAAGGAGAAGCCCAACAAGCTCTGGGTGAGGGAGGAAGGGCAGGTCCTCCGGGTGACAGGGTTAAACCAGTGTCTCTGTGTCTGCTCCCCTTGAACTTCCCTTGTCACTGTGGGATGGCTGGGAGCGAGGCTGGAGTGTCCCTACTGCAGCACAGGGCAGCTGGGAGATGGCTGTGTCGTTGAAGGGTTGTTTTTATTACACATTAGAGCCCATATGCCAGGCTATTGAAGTAATTATGACTAAAGGTTTGCTCACAGAACTTAACGAGCCCTCAAAACAAATTAAAGTAATGAAGCACTTCGTGTTAGCAAATAGACAGGCAGCTGTTCCTCCTGAGAGCCACTCGGCAGGACAGACAGGGAGTCGGAGGAGGGAATCCAACATTTGGGTTGGAAACGGCCTCCAAGACTGTAGAGTCCAGCCTGTGACCAATCCCCACCTTCTCAACAGCACCAGAGCACTGAGTGCTACATCCAGTTGTTCCTTGCACAACTCCAGGGACAGTGACTCCACCACCTACCTGGACAACCCCTTCCAGTGTTTTTCCGTGAAAAAATTCTTGCTGATGTCTCCGCGATGTATTTGGGGCAGCACTTGTAAGAGGAAGCTCTGAGCACAGTGAAACTCTAGCTCTTCCCTGGGGTTCAGCTTTGGATTAGATTTTTCCAGACTTTTTTCTTTGAAACTGCTCTCCACATTGTTATGGCACAGAGCTTTAAATGGATTGTGCTTTGGGCTGACCTCTTTACCAGGAACACAGCAGTTCGCCTGCTCTGGGTGGCAGCAACAACCAAACACTGTCCCTGTTGCAGGAAGCTCTGGGTTGGCTTTTGAATTTCTGACACCAAAGGTGAGACACTCATTCTTTCACCAGGCAGCTGCCAGTGGAGAAGCTGCAGTTTCCTCTTCAAAAATTCCCACTGACTGACCGATTTTTATTGCTGCTTTAGCTATCTCGCTTGTTTCTAAATAAACCCGTAGGTATTTTTGGGGTTTTTTAGAAGGAGGCAGTATAAACTATGTCAGTGCTTGGTACACAATTAGCTGTGTTTTCTAGATTGCTTTACTTCTGAGTCACTTGCACGATCAATTACTGACTTGGATGGCAAGATACACATTATTTGAAACTGTGTAGGGTTGTGGTCTGAGCCCGTGGGAAATCCTAAAGCATTCTAAGGACACGAGCGTCTGAGCCCTGAGGGAATCAGAGACTGCCATAACATTACCTGGCTTCTCCTTAGCTTAACTTCTATTTGGACTTCTAAAATGGCTTGTCAGAGAGGATGTAACAGAATTCCACCTCGGATGTCTTCCCAGGCAGCATCAGGAACCGGCCAAAGCCCTGTGCAGGGTCACAGGGGCTGCAGTCAGCACAGGGGAAAGTGCCGGAACGAGGCACGGGTGACCCCACACCTCAAACATAAAAACAGCAGGTCAGGGGCACTGAAGGCTGCTCAGCCTCAAACTCTGGGGTTCAACCATCTCCTTTTTCTGTTGACAGATGGCTCTGAGAGGTTCCTCTGCGAGTCTGTGTTCAGCTTTCAGGTTGCATCAACATTAAAGCAAGTGAAGCACGGTAAGCGCCGGCCGCGTGTGGCTCGGGGAAGGCGGCGGGGGCAAAGCCTGACCTGCTCTGGGGTGTCAGCCACAAGAAAGCAGAGTGAACGCTAAGTCAGGCCACCACTGAGTCCTTTTGCAAGCCCTGAGCAAAGCGCTGGGAGCCCACAGAGGCGGGGTGGGAACGGGCTGTGCCTCCCGAAGCTTGTTTTTCCATGGCTGTGTGGCAGCACAAGGTGAGGCGGGAGGAGGAGGTTCTGGGCAGGAAACGCCCACGCTCTGATCTCGGCCCAGCGCTGACTGTCTCTCTGGCCTGGGGCGGAGGGACGCTCCATTCCACCTTTGTTTCTCTGCTGAGCCCTTGTGGCCCTGGCAGGGTCAGGTGAGGTTTCCAGAGTCACTCGGGAGGCGGCCACGCGTGGCGTGGCGTGGCGTGGCATGGCGTGGCGTGGCGTGGCGTGACAGGGCTGAGTACACTCCCTGCCTCCCCAGGGAACAGCCTGACGTCCTGTTTGAACCTCTGCTTCCCTGCCAGCCTCTTTGCCCTCGCCCAGGTGCCTGTGACCCAGCCATGGGCTCGGCTGCGTCACAGCTTTGGTTCTCACAGAGCCCAGCAGCAGATCCTGTCTGCTGCTTGAGGGTCACATCCTTTCTGGTCCCCGCCTCTTGTCAGCCAGAATGGTACTTCCACCTGTTGTCTCTGAGTGGAGAGGCTTCCTGTCCTCCTCCGGTTGGGGGGGTGTGCAGCAGCTTGCAAGGCCATGATCCTGTGTTTCTGCACCAGAAAGCAAAGCTGAACTCCAGAGCCATTGTTTCCAGAGCTCTGCTGTGGCTGTAGCTGCCAGGGGCTGCTACACAGCCTGGCACCCCAATAGACACCAGCCTTTGGAACTGTGGAGCACCTCCCTGTTTTCTCCCTGTAAGAAAGGTGGAGGGCTTAAAAAAAAAAGATCGAGGTCATCATTTTTTGGCTTGTTTGTTTGACAGTTCCCAAAAGGGTGCAGGAGGTGGAGTGAGAACAGTCCCTCTTAAAGCACCCACTGCTGCAGTCAGCATAAATCACACACAGTTTATGTTACGCCTCTTGCTAGCCCTGGGCCGTCTCTCCAAGAGGCTGCAGTGAGCTTACAGCGCTGTTAGACTTCCAGCAGAGCTGGGAGAAGGGATGTTCCCATCTCTGCACCACTGCAGCACATCTAACTGAAAATGGACCCTGTGTGCCCGACACACGACTGGTTATAAATAAACCTGAGAGGAAGATGTTGTCTGGGGACCTTCCTCTCATTAGCAGGCTCTGCTTGCAGAGCCTCTCTGCCGCACTCATCCAGGTCCTCCTCCAAGGACCTTCATCAAAAGCACAGTTCCTCCTGCTGCACCCAGCTCTACCGTGGGCTGACCAAGCCCTCTCTGAACTTCTCTGTTCTTCTGCACTATAAATATTTATACTTTATGAAATGAGCTGCATCCTGTTTTCACCCCCTACACTAATGGGCCTGATGTTTCCCTGTTAGGACTTGAATGTACATGGCACGGGCAGGGATGGGTAAACACACTGTGGGGCAGAAAAGCCTGTCCCTGCTTTCTCCTCGCTGTTTGCACACAGTGGGTTTGAATTCAAATGAGCTCCGTGGGTTTTATTCTGCCCTGCTCCCCACTGACAGCTGGGAATTTGCATCTAATTGAAAGGTTTAATTGCACTGCCATTGCAAACCACAGTTACCTTTGAACTCCTCGCAGATCAACAAGTCGCAAGGATGGAAAAACTTGCCGGTCTGGTGGAAGAGCTGGAGGCAGATGAGTGGAGGTACAAGCCAATAGAGCAGCTCCTGGGATTCACTCCCTCCTCAGGCTGAGCGTGTCTGGATTGCTGCTGTCAGGGAGCAGAAGAAAAACGTTCCCTGGCCCGGCTTCAAAACACCCCCCCATTTATCAAATGCTGACAGCTGCATCGGCAGGATGGGGCTTTGGGTTTTTTTGAGAGTGGGGATCCCCCGTAAAGCTGCCAATAAATGGAAATGACGAGATTCTGTAGGTCCTTACAGGCTGGCAGGGCTTGGTTTCTGTAACTTAGAAGGCAGGATCAGCTGTACAGACAGCCCCTGGATCATCTCTGTGTTGTTTACAGAGGGGGGCACACGGACAGTGTGGCTGCGGGGAGGGCGACCTCGTAACTCGGCCCGGGTTCCCGCTGGAGCGCAGCCGGAGCACTGGGTGAGCGGGGAAACCCTCTGGAGCAAATGCCAGAAGCACTCCTCAGCCCCTGCCGTCGTTCTGGGGGATGGACACAAACTGTCCCAGGGTTGGGTGAGGGGCCAAGCGGCGTCACCTCCTCCAGCAGTGCCTCGGCCATTGCCCAAGCTGTTCCCTCTTCATCACTGTTTCTGTGGTAGCGCTGGCAGGATACTGCTCTGTCTTTATTACCCTGAAACTTTGTCCTCTTTGTTCTGTATTAGATTTCTCTGTGACAATAAAATAACTCTGTCTTTGAAACTCTTTATCTGGTCTGATGAGGGAAAGAATCAGCTGTTTAGGAGTTAAGGAGGTGTAGTGAAGCTCAGAGGCAGATGGACTGTCATGATGGTAGACTGAAGTTCAATGTGAGAGGAACCAAACCATGCTCAAAAGTGGCTGGATTTAAGTCAGATTTTAATCCTGGTTTAACTCAGGCAGAGGAGAAGACCCTGGTTTAAACCCATCCATTTTAATCATCTTGTTTTTCGGTTGTACTTCACTTCTGTTCTTGGAGGGAACTGGATTTCCATGTTCTGGCATAATCATTTCAACATGTTGATTTTCCATGGATGAGAGCCTTCGCCCTATGGCTCTGCTGGCCAGCAGGGGGTAGGAGCAGCACCGTATGCAAGCAATTATTTGATTTATTGCTCCAGATGCCTAATTTTTCCATTTTCAACATCTTTCTTACGACATTATTGTATTTTTTTACTCACTTTTTCAGCCCAGCCACATCTGCATTGAAACAGATTAACTGGGATCCATTCCCATTTTAGATCACCAGCAATTAGCTAAAACTGAGGGGAAAAAGTATACAGCCACCTTCTGTGTTTGTTGCTGTGAATAAATCAGTTCCAGTGCCAGAGTCAGCTCTGGGCCATCCAGAGCCCCACGCTGCCTGAGCCGCAGGTGAAGCGGCAATTCCAGCCCCGTGGAAATTCACCGCGCGGCTGCCGGAGCGGCGCAGGGGCGTTCTCACGTAGGGCTGCAGCTCAGCTGAGACTGTCCCACGCTGGCCGCCCCGGCCACGGCCCCAGCCCGGAAAACCTCCTCCCCAGCCTTGGAGGGCTGCCAGGCCCTGCTCTGCGAGGGCCTCCTGCACAGTCAGCGGCTCCGCGGCCAGGAGCGCTCCAAACGTGACGGCAGGCGGGATTCAAACTGCAGCCCAGATGGGCTTGCTCGAGAAAGAAGGGAGCGCTTCAGCCCTCCACTTTTTTGTTTGCTTGGTGGCATCTATTTTTAATCCTGCTCACTCCAGCCACCTACGTCTACCTCGGCCAAACCTGCCAAAAATCCTCACCCCGTATCATTGTGGGGTTTGGGAACGGAGCAGTAGACCCCCAAACTCCCTCACTCCCACCCAGTAACCCCTGCTCGCTGACCCAGCACAATCAGCCACAGAAAGAGCTTTTCCTTTTCACTGCTCAACTTGGGAAATTTTTCCACCCTGCCAGCTCTCCTGGGATGCCAGGGGCTCGGTGCCTACAGCTCTGCCCAGGGGATGCAGTGCCCAAGCATTGCCCAGACTTCCCCATCCAGATCCAGAACACAGCAGGGCTGAGATTTATCCCCCTCGCCCTCCTCCCGTTGCTTGTTTTCCAGCAGTTTCTTGTGCTGGGACAGAGCAGGAGTAGGGAACGTCCCCAGCTCCGTGCTGTACATGGTGTGTTTGTGTGTGTGCCCAGCACCAAAATAGACACATGTGTGAGAGCCATTGAGAGGAAGTGAAAAGTTCACCCTGTACAGTACTACGAATGCAAAAACATGTTGTTGGCCGTTCCCTCCTCCCGCTCAGTAAACACTTTATGTAAGGCAGGGAGAACTGGAGGGATCCGTACGGGCGAAAACCTTCCACGCTCGCCCTCCTCCAAACCCAGGTTTTCCCTGGCAGCTGGAAATTCCCAAACCAACCTATTTCCTGCTTTGCAGATCAGTGGGGCTGCGCCAGCGGTGGATATTTCTCCTTGGGGTGTGGAAGCCCCACGTCCCCCTCGTCCCGGGAGCTCGGGGGGCCGTTCAGCTGGGCGCGGAGCGCAGGGGGGAGGGAGCCCGGCAGCTGCCAGAAAAAGTTGATGAGGGGAGGGGAGGGAAAATAAAAAAAGAGCCGAACAAAGAGCCTCGTTCAGAGCTGCTGTTGGTTTTCCTGTGGGTGCTCGCGGCAGAACGTTATGTACCGGCACAAGCCCCGCTCACACCTCCCCTCCCCGGCTCCTCGCCGCTGGCCACGGCCCCAGCGCCGGCCACGGCGCCAAGGCACGCGCTCGCCTCGCTGCCCGGGCAGGCCGCCCGCCGGGGAGGGCCTCTCCCGGCATCCAGGATGCAGCAGTGTGGGGCAGCACCCCCAGAAACACCCTCTGCCATCTTTCCCCCCAGAAGCACCCAAGGCGAGACGAGTTTCACGGCCCACACCCTGCGAGCGACACGCTGCCGACCCGGCGCTCAACCCGGCGCTCGGCATCTCCGCTGCCAAAACCTGTCCGGCACCCTCGTGGATGCACGTTCCTGCTTCCTCCGCCCCGCTCCTGCAGCTGCTTGTCCCAGGGGCGAGAGACGGGCCCGCAAGGTTTGGCTGTGGCACAGACCTGCCCGGCCAGCGGCACGCCGGGACCTGCCACCGCGTCCCACGCAGCCAAAGCTCACCTGTCGGAGCTGGCCGCGGAATCGGGAGATGCAGGGTCACCCCTGTGTGCCTGTCACCCCCAGCCACAACCAGGGACCCGGTGTGAAGGACACCCACCCCGCCAGGCACTTAGGGGGCACAGAAAAAACCATGGCCTCAGCCCCTCTCTTACTTGGACACAAAGGAGCCCAGCGGTGTCTGTGCCAGCCCAATGTGTAAATTTACCAAAAAGAGCAACCTTTTGGGCTACAGAGCTGCTGGGAAAAAAACATGAAGCCAGGGACTCCTCCACAGCAGCAGCCCATGGGGCAGGAGTTTGCTCCCCACTGTACAGGGGCACAGTTTGCACCCGACGTGAGCCAGAGCACTCGCTGAGCCCCTCAGTACATCTCCTCCCTTCCTCCTCCTCTTCCTCCTCCTCCTTGTTCCCAGCCCCCTCCCCCTGCAGGCTGCAAAAGCGCTGAGCTCAGCACATCACGGGCAGGGGCCCAGCCAAGGACCCTCCCCAGTGCCAGCCGCTCCCCCCGGCTCCTGCTTAACCCTTTGCAAAGCCAGGCTGGAAATCAGAAGGATGGAGTAAATCCCATCCCAGACAGGGACAGGCACAGCTGGCTGGGAACAGCCTGTCCAGAAAGCCTCAATCTGCTCTCCCAGAAAGGACAGCAGGTCAGGGGGAAAGACACGCTGCTGCTCCACAGAAACCACGCTGGGTTTACTGCCAGCAGCAGGACCAGGGGAGGGGAAGTGCAGGGATTACCAACACTAAAACTTTGCTTTCCAGCCCAAAACTGTTCCTAGAGGCCCTGCTGCAGAGGAGTGGCCTGGATCTCAGCTTCTTTTGGGAAGCAGAAGGAGCTGCCAGCCCCACATTGCCTCCCCTCCCAGCTGGATTATTTTATTGCAGGGATCAAAAATTGCATTTCCCTTTAAAACTTGCCATCGCACCAGAGCTGCTTGCTCTGCTGCCTACCAGGAGATGTTATGGCAAAGAAAGAAAAATATTTATGCTTGGCTCTAGAATTCCAGCTTATTTTTAGCAAGGCGCCTTCCCTGTGGTCCTTTACCTCTTTTTTGTTTATTTGCTGCTTCCCCCCTGTTTCGACCCCCCAAACCAGCAGATCCTCATCTATTTTCAGCCTCACCCAGCCGACGTTCTTACCAATGACTTGGTGGCTGTGGGAAGAAATAACCCACGAGACAGATTTTGTGAAAAACAGGATCCCAAGCACCATCCCGCTGAGTGTGCAAATATTGGGGTGTATTTTTAACAGCTGGGGGTTGGGGGATTGATAATTTTTTGTCCCAAAAACCAAAGGAGTATCTCTGCAAGCTGCAGGCACAAGCCAGGACTTGTTCCCAGCTCCCCACACCTCTCCTCTGCTCCCTGGGATGCTACCCACTCCCCCAGCCCGGACTTCCACGCCCAAAATGCAGATAGATTCAAGCTTTGACCCCTAAACAGCAGCTGCAGCTGCCGGTGGGGTGCCCAGACCCCTTTCTGCCCGCTTTGGGTGGCAGGTCACAGGCAGTGGCGGGGGGACCCGTGCCCGTGTTTATCGCCGGGCTCTTATCCCTCCGGGCCCGGGAAGGACAGGAGCCAAGAGAGGTCCCGGCGTGGCTGCAGGGAGTGCTCAGCCCCCCCGATAAAGCCGCAGGCAGCGCAGCGGGAGGACAAACAAAGCCCTTTATCTCCGGCTGGGCTCCCTGCGCTCCTCGGGGTCTGCCTTTGGAAAGGTCACGTACGCGGGACCGGCACCAGGGCCCCGGGGGGACGCTGCCACCGCGGGGGACACTGCCACCGCGGGGACCGGGCGTGTCCCGGCCCGGCTTTAGGGGACACCAGGGATGGCAGATGGGGTTACCACAGCCTGACAGAGCCCCATCCCAGGTTTAGGGGACACCGGATGGGGTTACGGCAGCCTGGCACTGACAGCGCCCCATCCCACATTTAGGGGACACCGGATGGGGTTACGGCAGCCTGGCACTGACAGAACCCCATCCCACATTTAGGGGACACCAGGGATGGCAGATGGGGTTACCACAGCCTAGCACTGACAGAACCCCATCCCACATTTAGGGACACCAGATGGGGTTACTGCAGCCTGGCACTGACAGAGCCCCATCCCAGCCTGGCAGTGCCCTGCCCCCGCACTCCTTGATCTCCAACAAGTTTCACTCCACCATCCCTTCTTGCCTTAAGGAAGCGGGACAAGGCCAGCGAGCGGGACACCGGGACCACGGCGGGGTTTGTCCCGGAGCGGGGCTGCGGGCTCAGCGCCATCCCCTGCCAGGGCAGCAGCACCCGGCCGCGCCGGTGCCAGCGCGCAAACAGCCCCTGGAAGACGAGGCGGATCAAACCCCAGTAACCACAGGGGAACCATCATCGGTTTCCCGGCCCACGGAGGGTTCGGGGACCGCGGGGACACGGCCGGTGTCCCCTTCCCCACCGGAACGTGATGCGTGTGCCCGAGCGATGGGCTGGCCCCGGGGTGCGGGGGTGAGCCCGGGCGCTGGGGGGTGCCCGGGGGTGCCGTGCTGGCCGGGGTGCGGGGCCGGGGCAGCCCCGGAGCCCGGGCCGGCCCTGACGCAACCGCGGCTCCCGTTTGCAGCGCCCGGGGCCGCGCCGGCCGCCGGGGGG